CCTATCCCCGAGGCTCACGCGTTTCCACCCTCACCGAAAGCCCTGGGATGGCACAGTGTGTTTTTTAAAACCCGAAATATAATTCATAAAATTCACTGTTTAAGTCTATAATCGGAGGCACCGGGGGAGTGAAATTGACCACATTATGTTATGTGCACGTGCGGATATGAATCCTGCCATTATGTATAATCGCATTACACCCACAAATTTTTTTTTTAAAAAAAAGTCTAGATTTCAGTGACTTTAGCACATTCACCAAGTTTTTCAGTGATTGCCACTAATAATAGTATATTTCATGGCCCCCAAAGAAACTCCCTCGCAGGAAGCCGTTGCTCCTTCTTAGCCCCCACCCTGAGCCGCTGACCACGCGGATCCACTCCTGGCCCACTCCTGACCCTCCGGCTTTCCCTGATCTGTACGTCTCCCACACAGCCTGCGGCCGTGGTGTGTCTTTATCCATTAACTTGTTTTCCACGTCCACCCACGACTCAGCCCGAGTCACTGCTCCCTTCCTTCTAATGGCCGAGTCATATTCCGTTGCATGGATACACCACATTTTGTCTGGTGCTGGACCTCTGCAGCGTTCCACCTCTGTCTCTAGGAGGTGTGTTGTTGGTCGATTCACTTCCTGTCTCAGGAGCCTTGTTTTTAAAATTAGACAGAAAGGCGGCTCATCTTGTTTTAAAGAATCTTTTTTTTTTGTATTAAAAAATTAGGGCTCTTCTAGCTTCTAATACTACATAACAAATCATACCGATACCTAGTGACCTAATCCACTATTTTATTTTATTTTATTTTTAAGAGAGAGTGAGAGAGAGGGAGAGAGAATTTTAATATTTATTTTTTAGTATTTGGAGGACACAATACCTTTGTTTGTATGTGGTGCTGAGGATTGAACCCGGGCCGCACACATGCCAGGTGAGCGCGCTACCGCTTGAGCCACGTCCCCAGCCCACCACTATTTTATTGTATTCCTGGATTCCGTGGGTCAAGAATTCAGACTACAAGGGGTGCCTTGCTGTTTCATTAATCTGGGTACTCCACGTGGGTTCGTTGGACTTCCTTCTATCATGGCCGCTGGGGTCTGAGCTGAGCTTCCCGAGAGAGCAGCGGGGAAATGCACATGAGTTTTATGGTCCACCCCTGGAAGTCGAATAGCATCTTTTCTGCAGTAATCGCATTGATTGGCGCCGTTGTTAGGGATTCCAGGAGGAGGAATCGTAGACTGTGTCACTGAACATGAGGCATAACAGCAAGGTCACTTATAGGAACATGTGACGTAGAGATATCGTCACAGCCACTGTTGGAAAAAGCAGTCAGCTACAGGGTCCTCGCATAGTCCTGAGCCCATGAGAGTCATCCAGTGGGACCTTATTTTATTATTTATTTATTTGTTCCAATTAGTTATACCTGATAGTAGGATGCATTTTGACACACTGTACACACATGGAGCACAACTTCTCCTTCCCCAGATTTTAAATCCTTTGGGTGTGGACCAAGGAGTGGGACAGCTGGGGCAAGTGGTGGTTCCATCCCAAGTTTTCTGAGGACTCTCCATCCTGCTTTCCAGATTGTGTGCCCCAATTGGCAGTCCCAGCTGCAGTGTGTGAGTGTGCCTTCCCCCACATCCTCGCCAACACTTACTGTTGCTTGTGTATCTGATGATTGCCATTCTGCATGGGCTGAGATGAAATCTGAGAGCAGTTTTGGTTTGCATTTCTCTAGTTGCTAGAGATGATGAACATTTTTTTCCTGTTTGAGGATCAGTTGTATTTCTTCTTCTGTGAAGTGCCTGCTCAGCTCTGCTCGGTCCTTATAGAACTCAGCGGACTCCACGCTCATCAACCAACTGCACCTGCGTCTACCCCCTGCCTGTGTGTTCTGAAGTCCTCCCTTTCCTTCCAAAAGGACTCTCTTCTGAGCGTGATCCTGGACCTTACCTTGCTTCAACAGAGCTTGCCACCTCTCTCTGCAGTTCCCTGACCCTGGGGTCTTGGCAGTCACCCCCACTTCTGAGAGCCTCAGTTATCTGATCCGTAAAATGGGAGAACACACTTGTTCCCACTCCACAAAGTAACTTTGGGCATGGAGGGCGCTAAAGCATCAAGGACGCTCCTTTCAGAGCCTGGCCGGGGGTGAGGGCTGGGTATACAGTCGGCTATTATGACGGCAGTTTTATGATGCTGTCCAGCCTACAAGGGGAAGAAGGTCAAGCCCTCCTGGAGAGGAAAGACAGGAATTTCTTGGCTTCCACCCCCTCGTCCTCCCATCTCCCCTCCTGCAGTCACTTCTCTTGACTCCAAGGATGCGCCACGGTGGACACTGTCACCTTAAAATAATAACAATCGCGCTCCCATCTCAGGGAAGTTTCCTGGTCCTGAAGTCAAACCTCCGACTCTTGCTCTTGAATTACCCTCAATTAGACCCCCCCCAGCTTCCCTGCTGATGCTGCCTGTCGTGGTAATTCAGTGACGCCCGTTAACCCACATCACAGAGTGTCTGTCTAGTCCGCCTGCTCCTCCAGACGAGCGGTGGGCCTTCCCGCCTGCCGTCTGTCTGTGCAGGTTCAGTGGAGTGTGCAAGGGTTTCAGGTTTGCCGTGGGCTCCTCACTAAGGGGTCCCTGTGCCTTCCCCAGACAGTGGCTTCTCGGCCCTTCTGAGATCCGCTCACGGGGGCAGCTGCATGCTCCATTCTGCCAGGTAGAAACTCCTTCCCTCTTCCTGACTCCCTCCTCTCCTCCTCTTCCTCCTCCTCCTCCTCCTCTTCCTCCTCCTCCTCCTTCTCTTCCTCCTCCTCCTCTT